CCCAATTCCTTGGGAACACAACGGTTCTACAACATAAACACAGGGCAGTTCTCAAGCTTCGAATACATAACAAGCCAAGCGATGCCACAACACAATCCCACCTCCAGCTGCTAACCTTGAGCAGTTCCGCAAATGTAGCAAGCACGAGAAAGTAAACACCTACAGATGGGGGGGGGCGGGGAAGAAGGTTCAGAGGTTACAATGTAACATAGTAACTCCATGGCAGCTTGCTGACACACTGCCAGGCAGATACTCATGAGGAAGCCCACAAGGAAAGCCACAGCCCCCCTCTGTTGGTTGCTCCCCCCAGCAGGGAGTAGCCTAAGGTAGACTGCCTCTGAGCCTGGAAGTTCTGGTGGGCCCAGATAGCCTTCTGCTCCGTGAAAGCAAGGGGAGGAGCCCTGAGCACGTCCCGGGCCATGAATTCTGCCCGGCCCCGAGAGGCGTCCCTGCCTTTGCGCACGGGCTCCGGCTGACCTCGGCTGTTTCTCTTGCCACAGGGCCCAGCGAGGAGTTTGAGCTGCGCCTGGCCAACCGCTCCTTTCTGCTGCTGCGCGGCCGATACGGCTATGTGGGGAGTGCCCCTGGCCACGAGGTCCTGCAGTGCAACCTCCTGGAGCCCGACTGCATCGAGCTGCTGCCCTGCAAGCACAGCATCTACCACCTCCAGAGTAAGGGGGGGGCCCGCTCACTCCTCCCTGGCATTTCCCGGCCCGCCAGCGTGCAACCCTCTCTGGCCTCGCCCGGCTTCCCCCGTGCCTCCGTGGCTGACGTCCGCGCAGAATCCCACCCCCCACCCCCCAGCTCCTCTGAGTGCAGCCTCCTTCCCATGCCGGGCGGGGGGTGGGGGTTCTCACTCTCCCCCCCTTCTTCCTGCTCCCACGGCAGGTGCGCTCTTGAAAGAGCTCCCTGCCGGGCACCTCTGTCTGCTTTGCATGGGTGCTGGCCAGAGACCGCCGCCATAGGGGCGGGCAAGAGGGAGAGACTCGCCGTGACTTCTGCCCTTTGCCTTCCCCCTCCTCGCTCCCTTCTGCAGCCCACGGCAAGAGCTTTTGGTCTCTGACTTCAGAGAAGACCTTCAAGACTTGGGGGAAGTTTGCCTTGAATTTCTGCTTGGAGATCCGCGGGAACAACCTTCTGGCTATCCTGGCCCCCAATGGGTACTATCTGCGGGGGGACCGGGAAGGCGCTCTCATGGCCGACGCCGAGGAAGTGACCGGCGAGTCTCTCTGGGAGTTCTAGATGGAGGAAGGAGATGGGGCGGGAAGCCGTTGTTGCCTCTGCCCCACATTCCAGTGAGACGAGGAGGGCGGGCCCCCCACCCCGGGAGGAGACGGCCAAGGGATCTGCCCAGCTCCCGTAGTAGCCATTATAGACCTGCCTTGACCCAGCCTCTATGTTGGTGAACACGGAGGAGCTTGCTTCCAAACCACGGGGTGTTAAAAATGTGCTGTGTATATATGTTTTTTAATCTACGGCAATTCTAAGGCTGCTGTTCAACATGCAAAGCGGTGTATTAAAAAAAAAAAAGCAGACTTTTAAAAGCCCTCCTGAGTTGAAGGTTGAGTTCCGTCCTCTTGCGTGGAGGTCGCGCCTGCCTCCCCGGAGCAAGCAGCACGCCTTGCAAGGCCGGCTCCTGGGTCAGGGCTTCCTCAGACCCGGTCCTCCAGGCAGCGGTCCAGGCCGGTGGGCTTTTGGCTCCTGTTTGTCTCCCGCGCACAAAATGATGGGACACGGGGGGGGGGGATCCAATAAAGTCGAGGGGCAGTCGATTCTGGAAGGACAGGAGATACTTCTTTACACAGAGTGTGCTCAAAATATGGGATTCACTGCCAGAGGATGTAGTGATGGCCACAGGAAGAAATAACTTTGAAAGGAGGCTATGTCTATCCGTGGCTCCTAGCCGTGGTCCTGCACTGGGCAGGGGGTTGGACTAGATGGCCTGTGTGGCCCCTTCTTCCCACTCTCTGTGATTCCACGGTGACTGAGGGGGGCCTCCACGTTCAGGGGCACTCAGCCTCTGCATCCCAGAGCCAGGAGGCAGCCTCGGGGCCAGTCTGCTTCTGTGTCTTCAGACCATGGGATTCTGTTAGGCTGGAAAAGGTGTTCCCCATGATGTTTGCACTCCAGAGCTTCATGTGAACTGCGGACCAGTTTTCAGCCTCGGGGCTTGGCTGGTTTAGATTCTGGAGGCGTTCCTCCGAAAGGCCTTCTTGCCACACCGCATTTGGCTGGCTCACTCATCAGGCACGGTGGGGGGGGGTTCCAGATGTCTCTTCCCGCCATGATTAAATCTGGTCTTTGAGAAGGAAGGGGAGCCCACACAGAGCCCCAGAAGTAAATCAGGCACATGGGGGGGGGGGTTTCCAGATGTCTCTTCCCGCCATGATTAAATCTGGTCTTTGAGAAGGAAGGGGAGCCCACACAGAGCCCCAGAAGTAAAACGGAACCTGTAGGGGGAGGAGTCCCGCGGCCTCAGACGGCGGAGGAGGGGGGGAGGCTTCCATGGAGGGCTGTGCCAGCGCCGGTCTCCCAGGGGAGGGGAGCCAGGTTCCTCCCGCAGCAGTCGGCCCTGCAGACGGGGAGGCCAGAGATCAGGTGGAGCTCGTGCCTGGGGGAGTGGGGGGGGAGAAGAGCTGGCCCCCTTGCTCTCCTCCGCTTGGGATCGTGGAACAGTGGCCGTCCTGGTGCGTCAGCTGGGAAGGGGGAGCTTGCTGAGCATCTGTCCCTGCCCCAGACCCCTCCCACCCCCACTGAGTGACCTCTCCTCCCCCCCCCTTCTTGTGGGCCACAGACCCCAGGAAGAGCCTCTCTTACTTACCGCAGGCAGAAGGGCTCTTCGTTGCAGGCACGAGGCGGGGAGGGGGTCAGGTGCAAGCAAGGTGGCATCCCTGGGTGGAGGTGGAAGGTGTTGGGGCCCAGGGCCTCTGGGCCAGGCCTGAGACTCTGCTGCGGAGGGTGAAAACAACACAGCCAGGAGGTGGTGGGGGAGGGAGAGCAGCCGGTCCTCTTTTGCAGAGGTGCTGCTGCTGTGAAAAGCAGCGGAGGGAGGGCCTGTCTGTGCTACAGTTCTGAACCAGATCACCCTTGACCACCACAGCTGCTGCTCAGGAGCGAGGATCCCCAGGGGTCCCAGAAGGAGACCAAGGCAGGCAGGCAGCCGAGCTGATTCCAAGGTGGTCTACAGGTGACATGCAGGGTACGCCCTTTGTCCCTGGAGAAGGGGTTAGCTGGCCCTCCCCGCCTGCACGGGGCAGGCTCCAGGGCCCCCTGAGGGCTCTGCTGCCCGGGAATGAGAGTGGGGAGAGGCAGGGGCCCATGGGCCCAGGACCAGGCAGGGCCCAGCAAAAGGGCAGGGCAGAGTGGCTGAGCTGCACGGAAGAGGAGGCCCTCAGAGCGGGGCTCCTGCACCTGCTCGGGGATCTGTCGCCCCCCGGGGGGGGATCTCAGGGTTGGGGGCCAAGGTTCCGCCAGGCAGGGAGGTCCTGCCCGCTTCCCCGCCGGCTGGTCATGAAGCTGCATGAAGCGGCCTCCTCTGCTGAGCCAGACCCTATCCGGGTCAGCCTCCTCTCCTCCTCGGGCTGGCAGCAGCTCTCCTGTCACCTCCTGCCGCCGGGTCCTTTGAGCTGGAGGTGCTGCTGCCACACAGGTGCCCTGATGCTGCTCAGCCACAGCCTTCCCCCCCTCCCCCCCCCTCCCTCGAGGCTGGGCCTGGCCACGGTGGAGCAGGACGTGAGTGGTAGGGACAGTGGTGGCTGCTGCCGGCTCAGCTGCACGAGGAGAAGAAGAAGAAGGAGACACGGATCTGCCCTGGCTGCCAAAGGCCTTGGAAGGGAGCCTGGCGGGGCCCACGGGGAGCTGAGAGCACGGGCAGGCGGGCAGGGGAGGGTGGGTGTTGGGTATTGCAAGTTAAATTACACTCAGTGTATCTGGGGTTAAGTGTTTGTTTGTGTTGCTCGCAGGAAGTCAGATGTGTTTCATGTAACCAATGCTGTTTTAGGAGTACAAGCCTGGGAAAATTCTCCCTGATCTATTGTTTGCTGTTCTCAAGAAGAAGTAAGAGTAGCCATAATTGCTCTCTTCTAGTCTTGTCCTTTGTAGTGTAAGGATGTAGGAGATTTAGCTCCGTTGTTATTTTCATCCCAGTCACCCTTCCCATGCTAGAATGTAGTAAAAACTTTCTATTTTAATCACAAATGGACTCTGAGTCTGAATTATTTTTCTCTGGCTCTGCTAAGCTATTTTATCTCTGCTAAATACCAATTTTTCTATTTCAAAACCCAACAGTGGGTGACGCTGGCCGGGAGCGCAGGCCGAGGGTGGCCTTCCCCTTGGCGTGCCCAGCGGCAGAGAGGGACGTGGCAACATACCGGGGGTGGAGCGGGGGGCTGACCTTGTCTCCACCAACCGTGTGGCCTTGGAGCTTCTGCCTACCTGGTCAGAGAAGGCAGCAGCCCTCGCGGTGGCCGGTGGAGCCGGAGCCCATCCCTGGGCAGCTGGCACAAAGGAGGAGGAGAGCCCCCGTGCCCACGAGGCCCCTGGGGTGGAGAAAGAGAGGAAGAAGAGGGCCCCTTGCTGGGTGGCTGCCAGCCAACAGGCAAAGGGGAGGGAGCTGCTGAGGCCAGGGCAGAGGGCCCCCCCCCCCCCCCCCCCCCCAGGCTAGGGAGGACACGGGCAGCTTCCGTACACTCTGAACCTGCCCAGTTCCCAAAAGAAGCCCCACCACCATGTTTAAGACCAGCGCGCTGAGGAGGGGGCGGGCAGGCCTTCCCTGGAGCGCCATGCCTCTGTGTGGCCTGGGAAAGCTGAGGAGGGGGCGTCTCTGTGCCGGGGAGGGGAGGGGGTTCGGTGCAGGTCTGGGGCCGAGTGGGGCGGAGCAGGACCTGTGCCTTCGATCTGCAGAGCCTCCAGAGCCTCCCGCCGCCATCTCGCCCTCCGATTTGAGAACCAGACCTAGTTGGCAAGAAGGAGAAGGCGAGGGGGAGTCAGGGCATGGAGGAGGCGGCTCTGCCCCTGCGTGTTCAGCCCCCAACTCCCCCGACCTCCCCTCGGACAGCACAATCCTGCACAGCGTGGCTGGCGTCACCTGGCCGGTCTCCGCCGAGGAGGAGGCCCACTCAGGCCACGGCCACCCCCCACCCCCCCACACACACAGCAGCCCCGGAGCGCGGCCCCGAGAAATCCCAGGGAAGGCCTGAGCAGCCGCGGAGGGAACTCCCTCTGGCCACCACGGGGGGCACATGCCGCCGCAGGAGTCCTCCAGGCCCTGGGCGATGCCCTCAGGCGGCCAGTCCTTGGAATGGAGAACGGAGGCCCAGTCCCCCGTGGAGGCCAGTCCCAGGAAGGCCGCCCAAGCTTCCTTCCACGGCCTGCGGCAGGCGGAGGGGGTGCCTGGCTGGTGTGCGGGAGAGAGAGGGAGGGAGCCCCCACCCCACCCCACCCCCTGGGCCTGGCCCGCGCAGGTCAGCGGCTGCCTTCCGCCCTGCTTGGGCTGGGCCATCCGGGCAGCCTGGGCAGCCGCCAAGGGCCGCGGGAGGAGAGCCGGGGGGGTCCTCCAGGGCCTGCCCCCAGGCGGGGGGCGAGGCGCTTCTTCCCGGGGGGGGGCGGCGCCA